AACACTGCTTCTCACTCAGGTGGGCACTCTGATGCTTTGTCTCCAGTGACCAGTGCCTGCTTCATGTCCCTGGAGGAGTTGGCATCATTTTCACCCTGGGCTGTACATCTGAAGACTGATGTACAGGAGAAAAACAGAATGCAGAAATTCTTCATGCATATTTTTCCCCACCTACAGCCACAATGATTTAATCCAGTTCCAATGATAGTAACATCCCAGGGGCATGTTCCTCCTGGGCAGATTTGCACCTGAGTCTTTGTCATTAAGTTATTAGCATAGATACTATTAGAGATGTTGCTAGCAGGTTGCACTGCAGGATTTAATATTAGGATTCTGTTGAAATTTCACAACGCTCAAGCTCAGGCAAAGAACATTTGATTTGCTCCTTCCAACGAGTACGATTAGGAGCTATCACCTGACAGGCCCATGATCAACAGTTGGAACCACAGAACTTTACCTGCATAGCTATTATTTGCATACCAATTATTTGTGCTGAAACCCAGAGCAACACGTGCAGGCCATTGCTTGATAATTTCTTTTTTTCTTTCTTTTTGTGGAACCAGGGATTGAACTCAGGCCCTTGCACTTGCCAGGGAAGCGCTTATTCCACTGAGCCATCTCCCCGGCCACTTGTAATTTCATGCAGCTGGGAAAACCAAGTTAGGGACTGAACATCAGTGATGAAATACAAAGTTGTTTTGAGTGGTATGATTTATACTACTTTCCTGCTGCATTATCCTTTTAGGTATCTTTATCCCACGATATTACATACTGTCAGAATCGATTTCCATCCTACTGCCTTGATTTTCACCAACGTTGAGGCTTTTATGAGAACATGAGCCTGTGTCACAAATTTCTTTTGCCCCTCCCTCACTCTGAAGTAAAGGAACAAAACTGAAAATGACTTCCATGTTTTCCATCACTCGGGGTTTTGAGGTTCACAGAAGCACGGGCAACACTTAAAGACCTGAAACTCAGTGGATTTCTCAGAGTGAGCAGTTACATTATTCTGATGAAAACTGTTTTTGTGCAAGGCGTGCCATTTAGTTTGTCAAAATTTAAATGATAGTCCAAATTGTGAGCCTCAAAATTCACTTAAACATCACTTATTATATAGGTGTTAGTATTCTTTTATAAATAATATTGGCTTAAAATATGATATATTAGTAATAGGAAATCTGATAAAGGTGTAAGAATACATTGATTTTTGTAATGATAAAATTTTAAAACTAAAGTATATAAATTTTGAGGAAATATTTTCCAATTTGGAAGACGTTGGCCTCATGTCCTCATTAGCATTTGAAAAGTAGCTAGTCAGACTAAAGTTGAGCTGTATGTGCAAAATCTTCAAAGAATTTTTAAAAATGTAAAGACATAATGATTTTAAATAGCCTTATAATGACTGTAATGGTTGATACATTGCATCAATTTGAGAAATTTAGAAGCTTAACTAACACCATTTCCTCATCTTGGGGAGTAGAGAACATGCCCTAGGGCTGCTATTTATCTTGCAGGATGTTTTAATGGTTTATTCTCTGTTTCAGCTTGAGAAGTTGAAAGCTGATCTAAGTGACTCACCAGGGAGCCTTACTTTGTAAGCACCTGGGCCTGGTGAAGAGGAGGGCATAGAGATAGTGTCAGTGCTACACCACACGCAGGGCAGGTAGCCTGCTTACAATGTAAGGAAGTAGAAGAGGTTCAGAAGCCCCCCTTTTTCTTTTCTTGCTTTTACTGTCTTTCACCACAGTGAACTCCTGGCCCTTTGCTATCCCACCTGGCTTTGGAGCCAGCTAATTTTGAACTACAACCTCTACAAACTAGGCTATAAATAAACCTCTCCTCCTTTACCTTTGGATGTTGGGTATTTTGTCTCATCAATGAAAGAAATATGACCAACACAATAAGTATATGATAGGATAATATATTGAATCTACTTGGTCTAATATATTGCAAAAAGATATTTTAAAAGTAAGGCTTTTATGTCTGTTAACCTGGTTATTGCAAGTTGTACACAATAAAAACACAAAAATGTTTAAGATTACCTCCAAGTCCTGCACATAAAAACATTTTTTTTCCAAAAACATGACATTTCATTTAATTTCAAAGAGACTTTTATCTGGATTTAATTGTGCTTCAAGTGTGAGGAGGAAGTGTGAATTCTACTACTTGCCCACATGATTTAACTCAAACATAGGGTGTTTATAGAAATAAGATAAGATCATCAGGACCATTTGCCGTCCAATATATCTTTGTTTTTCTAACAGGAAAACACAGTATCAGACATTTGTGTCTAATAAATTTTTAAATCTTGGAGAAAGTACTTAAGTGGAGAGTACATTTTGAACATACACAAGATCTTGTTAATGTCCTGAATAAGTTGGTCATACAATTCATAAATATACTGTAGTGCATAATAATTTCAGTCCAGGGTATCACTCAGCAAATATTTTCATAAAGACATAATTTCTCCAATATGCTAAGACACATAACACAGCAGGAAGAATGTTGGATCACAAATACTTTTCTGCACTCCCTGGAACATCATCTGAAAGAAAGCCTGGAAAGAGTCCCCTCCTTGTCCAACACCACTGAAGATGGTGGCTATTTACTTCACACACACGCACTCCCCAGTTGCATGGGAGACATGCTGGAGCCTCTTCTGCTGCACCTTGAGGAGACAAAGCTCTTCCCTTTGGTAAATCTGCTATGCCTTCAATGAGCAGGGCACTCATGGGTATTCCCTGTGTGGAAAATGGCAATTTATGTGCATGTCTCCTGCTACTTTAAAATGTAAATCAGAACAGGAAGAGAATACATAGAGGGAGAGACCAGACACTTTAGTTCCAGGATGTGTATATAAATTGATAAAATTTAGGGTTTGGATAATTCTGTCATAAATAGGGAAATTCAGGCAGAAATTCTCTTTTCCTGTGCAATGATGGAGAATGACATGGACAGCCAGAAGTCAAGTTTCACAGTCAACACATGCCCCAATCTATCAGCCTATATATCAGCAAAAATTGTGGGCATCTGAAATAAGAACAATATCATATAAGATACAAGAAAGAGAAAAGGAAATCATAGAAAGAAAGATCTTCTCCAGAATAAGTCTAGCAAAGGACACATAAAATTTTGTGTGGTAAACTACGAAAATTGTTCTAAGGATATACATTCTTCATCAGTGGAGTTTGTGCTCTGCTAATGACCTGTTGGCAGAGTGCCATTAAGGTGTCCAGTCTTCCAAGCTATGTCAACAGACTCCGTATCATACCAGTGAAACTATCACCAAATTATTTGACAGAGAATTGTGGAAGTTTTCTCAGTCTCGGGAAATATAACCAGAAAGAAAAAACCCATTAAAATTGAAGAATTCACATTTTTTGGTTCCAAGATTCCATTATGAAAGGATAGACTTGTGGATAAATTGATTGGCACATTATAACCTGTCCCCGGATCTACTTTGCTATGCCTGGGCAGCCATCAATCCCAAAGGATCAAGTCTGCACTTATGGATTACCTTATGCTTTCTTTGTTTGTAACTTAGGAGCAACTGGAGGAGAATCATGTATATACCACCTCATCAACTATGTGTGACAACTCAGCGATAGAGCTTCTGTCTGAAGAGCTCACAGCACACAGGAAAACTGGCCGTCATCAAGACGCTGCTTGCCCTTTTCACCATGAAGCAGTGCCAAACATTCTACTGCCTTTCACTGTGCACCAATACAAGGTAAGTGGAGAGCGTTGCTGAGCCTTCTGTGGGATAAATGGCCATGAAATAGGCAATCATCGCTCTCATATTGCTAAAACTTCTCTCCCAGAAGTCTGAGGGTAGAAAGAAAATGAAACAGTAAGGTTAATACTTATGACCCATATTAAAAGTCTCAAAATCTGCAATTTAATTTTTCTTTCTCTGTCAGTATCTCTGTCTCTCTCACCACTTCCAATTATTAAATTTTATATA